GAGCGCCGCCGCGCTTCCCAAGCGGCACACTATCCAGTGCGCCACCGGGCCGGCCCCAATTATTTATTTTAATGATGACGGTGGTTTCTCTTTGATTTGGTCTAATACTGTGAATTTTTAAAAGAGGCAGGTTTTATGTTACCTCATGCAACAACGTGGTCAGTAGAAAGAAAAGAGGATTTTGTGAGTCTCTGCCAGTGACTGTGGTCTCTGAACCTCAGTTTCCTTATTATAAAGCAGTGGACAGTAACAGTACCTTGCAGTGTGGTGGTGATGTAAGGGTTAACAGTTATTGTGTATACAGCATTTAACACAATTCCTGAATCACAGTAGGCATGTGACAAATGTTACCTTTGTATTATTATTAACCTCAATATTTTTATTACTAGGAATAATGGGAACCAAGTGCTTACTTGGTGCAAAGGGCAGAGTGACCACGTTACCTTTATCTAGGTAGCACAGCATTATTGAATTCTGGTGCCAGATATTCTGAATTAGAATTCTGATTCTGCCCTTAACCCTAACCCTAATCCTAACTCTAACCCTAACCCTAACTCATCTGAAATTTATAAGAAAGAAAACCAAATGTTCCTCCCATTTGCCTCCGTGGAAGGGACTACATCTTGCAGTAAGTGATGTGGGTTTGACTCCATCTCAGCAAGAACACTGTACCCCACAGGCTCACTCTAGATAGACTCCAGCTTACTTGTTCTGAGCATTTCCTAACTTGCCGAAGGGGTCCCCAGCCTGCCCTCCATCCCGTGAATATGTACAGATAGCCATCCAGGCCAAAAAGAAGTTGTTCATCATTATGATTTGAGGCAGGTTCTTCTATTTCCAAGATGACCCTGGAACAGAAAAAGAAACTATGCATTAGGCTTTGACATAAGCAGATGCTGTATCCTCTTGAGACACCCAGAAATGACTGGTGTATGCACCAAGATCTGCCACACCAGCCAAGACCCATTTCAGAGTGTCCAGGATGACAAAACAGAGCTCTGGGGCTCTGAGAGGGCTCTTGTTTCCTGGCATGACTCCTTCATGGATTATTCTTCTTTCATACCATGACTTCACGTGATGTAAACAGAGCCAGGGTAACAATCGCCCTGTTCTAGGGCCTGCCTTACTCTCTGCTGTCCCAAAACTCTCAGTCCCTTTCTTTGAGCGACTTAGCAGGGGTTAGTCTATCAGTGCAGCATGCTCTTTCCAGTCCTCCCACCTCTCTATAACGGGAAAGAGACAAGGCAGAGAGGAGAAGGAAGAAAGGCAGGGTGGTAGAACGGACAGAGCATGAGCTTGGGGTCAGTTAGAACCAAGTCCTCATCTGACCATGCATCAATAGCTTTGTGGCCTTGTGCCCCAGCCTCCTATGAGGACAAGAAATCCCACATTCAAGAAAAAGGGTCCGGATCTAATGGCCACACAATAATCATAGGCTGCTATTATATTTAATATATTGATATTATCCATCATCTTTTCTCAAGACTTTGTGGTTGCTGGCCCTTTCTTACCCTCTGTAAAGACAAGAAACCATGGATCTAATTAGGGTAACTGTAAGGTGGTGGCTGTACCCCATAAAGACCCTTGACTCAAGAGTCTAACTTAGGCTGTGCTCATTAATCAACAATGACTCCTTTCTTGATGTTTTAAGCTAGTCCTCCAAAACCAGTTAAGTTCCCCACTATCATTTCAAAGGACTGATTGGCATTATTTCAGAATACAGTATAAAGTTGCAGATTCTCATGGTTATGGCTCACCTCTCTGATTTGGGGTCTGCTTTGATGGGATCAGCCCGAGAAACCTTCGTCTCACTAATCCGGATCTTTTCTACCTTCTTTTTGCCAAGGCATGAATAATAAATATAGAACTTGTGGTTGTGGTGGAATTTGGGATGAAAAACCAACCCCAAGAAGCCTCTCTCATCCCCAATCCATGGAGTAGTCAGAACGATGCTCCTGAGGTCCAAGAACGGTTGCTCCAGATGGCTCCCATCTGGGAGGTAGACCCACACCACTCCTACCTGCTCAGCAACAAAGAAGCAATGGGTGCCATCCCCAGCATGGACCATGGCAACGGGGTTCCTCAGCCCGTTGGCCACCTCAGTCAGGCAGAGTTGCAGGCAGCCCTGATGGTCCTTGGCCACCACACCCAGGTCATGGTTGAGATGGTCGTTCCTCAGGACATTGGGGAAGCAATAGCCTTTGTCAGGAAGATTGAGGAGGTGGCAGAAGTGGGCACCATCCTTTTCATGGAACTCCTGGAGGCCATGACCTTTGGTCAGCAGGGAGATGGCAGAGTGGCAGTTAGAGTGGAACGCAGAGCAGTAGTCAGAGCAAAGTCCAGGAAGCTTCCGGAGAGGCGTCAGAGGGTTCTCAGCATCGTAGAGGTGGGCTGCATAGGGTGAGCACTCCTAGAAAAGAAAAGAAAGCCCAATCTCAGCAGTCAGACTGGCCACAGTGGGGCTTGTCTCAATTTTTGAGCAAGAAGAAATTAAAAATGGTCTAAGAAAAAATTAGTATTCTGGAGTTTTTGTTACCAACTACTAGTAACTCACTTCTTGTCTCTCGAGGGTTCGGATCCCACATACAGACCGGTTCCCGCTCACTGGCTGAGCGAGGTGCAGGGAGCAACACCGAGGGTTGCGATCCCGTTGCCGGTCCCGGGCCGGTACGGGCGTGACACTGAGGGTTGCAATCCATTGCCGGTCATGAGAAAAGACAAAAAGGAAAAAAAAAATTAGTATTCTGGAGTTTTTGTTACCAACTACTAGTAACTCACTTCTTGTCTCTGTGACCCAAATTTTCTACCCAGTTAATGCTCCTAGAAGGCAGAAGGGAAAAAAACTCTCGTATTCCCTGTACCGTCTCTAACATTTCAGCTTAGTTCTTGCCACTTTAAGTTTTATTACATGATGAATGAATATTTTGTAACAGGAAATTTTACCAAATTTCCCAATCTTTCCCTTTTTCATAAATGATGTATCTGCAAGATTTTATTTCTTTATACAAATCTGAAGCAATTTGGCAAGTTTCATGCTTGTTAAAACTGGACGTTGGGAAAGCTGCAGCCAGATGGTGGACTAGAAGTGCCTGGGGTGCATTCCCCCCACAGAAAAGGACCAGAACAGCTAGCAGACAGCTAAATATTGATGGGAGCATGTGTGGGAGAGTGTGGGGGTGCAGCAAGAGACTGGTGAGTCCCTACAGAGCATGAAAGCCCAGGATGGTGACACAGAGAGGAGAGACACAGGCCTCAGCCACCATGTCTCTGACACCAGGCACAGGAAGAATTTCCCCTTGCAGCAGAAAGGTAGGCAAAGGACCCCCACCAACCCCACCCTCACCACAGAGACCCACAGACCCTCTGGCAAGCCAGGTCTAGAGAAAAGTGTGGGGAGTGGCCTAGACTACACATACTGCATTTCTCTAGAACACTAGCACAAATGGTGCACTCCACACCATCCACTCTCGTGACCCAAGAAGATTCAGGACAGCATCATCTTGAAACCAGAGCCTCTACAGGAGCACTCCCTGCCCTGCGGCCAGTAGCCATGGTGCTTCCCCAGCCTTAAGGCTCTTCCCTGCCCCAGCACAACCACAAGAGAAGCAACAATACCCTGATCCTGGCAGCTTGAAGCCTGGGCTCACAGCAGCCATGACTCTAGTTGTGCACTCTAGGAAGCCAAACCTAGTCCTGTTGAACTAACACACCTTTATGTCACCAGCAAAAAATCAGACAGGCAAACCTTCCTCAGGCAGACCACCCCCTATTCCTCCCCTTACCCTCCAGCCCCAACAACTGAGTCATGTGTGCCTGAACCCTCAAGCCAGAAAACAGCTCACGGGTCTCTACCCTAATGAATATGTCCTCAGGCTGGTGGAAATAAAGTGCATCCCTCTCCTGGGGAAGTGGGCAGTTGGCTCCACCCTGAACAGCACTGCCTGAAAGCCTCGCCAACAGTCCCGGAAGCAGCTGCTCCAGCTCCCTCACTGTAGGCCTGCCTAGTGGCCCTGCCCTCTACCCAGAAGTGGCTGGACAGGCCACTTCACCACAGACCTGCCAAGCAGCTCTGTCCACTTCTGGGGAAGAACCAGATGGGCCCCCTCACTGCAGGACTGCTAGCTGCCCTGCCCACTGACTGGAAAGAGGCTGCTCAGCCCCCTCCCCACCTAGCAGCACTGCCCACCACCCAGGAAGTATCTGGATGGGCCCCCTTACTGCAGCCCCACCTGGTGGCCTCACTCACTTCCTAAGAAGCAGCTCTGGCCTTGGCTCTCCAACTCCTGAACCACAGAAGGAAGCATGACCTCACACTGGGCCCCAAGAACTGGCACAGCAGATGGACCACTAGCAGACCTGCACTCAGCTAGCTGAGCCAAAGCATGCCCACATCCAGGCTCAGAAAAACAGCTCAGCTGTCATACCGCTGGAAGACCTACCCCTGAGTCTTTGAGCCATTACTTGCACATGCATCTGAATAAGAGACCATGTGGCTGATGTGCCCTTGGTGGGCCTACTCCTGGTCAGAGAAGCAGCACAGTGACCCTGCCACTGGTAAACCAGTGCCAGAGACCCTGACAGGCCATGCCTGCACCCCAAACCTGATAATCAATTCAGCAACTGCATCCCAGCTCCAGAGATGACTGACCACAGAGTAAATGTGCACACCCCCAGCCTGTGAACCAACCCAGTGATCCCTCCCCCTGCAAAGCCATGCCACCACCACCACAAACCTCCAAAGCATAGGCCACTGAGTCAATTGCAGACATAATGAAAGTGGATTATAGGTGAAGAAACCACATAGAATCTATACTACTGCATCTATATGGAACAAAACCATTGCACTGTACCCAATCAGCACTCTAAGACACATTTGCAGGTGAAAGTCTTTCCCCACACAAGCCACTCTACAAAATTCAAAAAGAAGGCTGTTCCACCAGATCCATAGATATCAATGCAGGGAAGCAAGAAACATGAAGAATCAACATAACATGACACCACAAAAAAAAACAAAATCATGCTCCAGAAACTGATCCCAAAGAATTGAAAATTGCCAACTTGCCAAAAAAGAAATATAGATTAATGATCTTAAGGAAACTCACTGAAATACAAGAGAATACAGACAAACGGTTCAGTGAAATGGCAGAAAAACAATTCATGATCTGAATGAGAAATTCAACAAAGAGATAGGTAACATTAAAAAAAAGCAGAAATCTTGAAATTGAAGAATTCATTGAATGAGATAAAAAAACACATCTGAGACTACATCAAGCAGAATAAAGAATTTCTGATCTTAAAGATAGCAGTTTTCAAATAACACAGGCATCCAAAAGAGAGAGAGAGAGAGAAAGAGAAAGAATAAAAGAGAATGAATAGAGCTTTCAAGGTGTATAGGATACTGTTAAGTGAAAAAATATTCAAATTATGGGCATTCCAGAAGAAGAAAACAAAAGGGACATTGAAAACCTATTTAAAGAAATAATAACTGAAAACATCACTAATCTTGGGAAAGATGTGAACCTCCAAATTCAGGGAGCTTAACTGTCCCCAAGTTGATTCAAGCCCAAATAGGTCATCCCAAAAACACATCATAGTCAAACTATCCAAAGTTAAAGACAAAGAGAATTCTAAGAACAGCAAGAGAAAAACATCAAGTCACTTGTAAGGGAAGCTATTAATAGACTAATTGATTGCTACTCAGCAGAAACCCTATATGACAGGAGGGAATGGGATTATATATTCAAAGTACTGAAAGAAATAAACTGCCAGCCAAGAATATTATAGCACCAAAGGTATCCTTCAGAAAAGGAGAAATAAAGTCTTTATCAGACAAGCAAATATTAAGGGCATTCATCACCACCAGACCATCCCTACAATAACAACTTAGGGGGAGTCCTACATCTAGAAGAGAAAGAATAACAACCACAATGAAAACACCTGAAAATATAAAACTTACTCATACAGTAGATACATAAATTAGAGAGGGAAAGAAATCAAACCTATCAATACAGAAAACCACCAGACCACAAGGATAAACATTAACTGAGGAAGAAAGGAACAAAGGACACAAAAAACAATCAGAAAACAACCAACAAAATGAGGAGTAAGACCTCACATGTCAATAATAACCTTGAATGTAAATGGATTAAATGCTCCAATTATAAGACAAAGACTGACTGAATGGGCAAAAAAACATGAACCATCCATATGCTGCCTACAAGAAACACACCTCACCTACAAACAAAACACAGACTGAAAGTGAAGGAATGGAAGAAGATATTCCATGCAAATGGAAAACAAAAGTGAACAGGAGTAGCTATACTTCTATCAGCTAAAACAGACCTTACATTAAAATCTGTACAAAGAGACAAAGAAGGGCACTGTATAATAATAAAGGGATCAATACAGCAAGAAGATGTAACAATTATAAATATATATGCACCCAACACAGGAACACCCAGATATATAAAACAATTATTATCAAATCCAAAGGGAGAGATAAACAACAACACAATAATAGTTGAGGACTTTAACACCCCTCTGTCAGTACTGGAGAGGAAATCATCAAAGAAGCATTGGATTTAAATGGCACCACAAACCAGATGGACTTAACAGACATACATGGAGCATTTCATCCAACAACTGCAGAATACACTTCTTTTCATCAGCACATGGAGATTTCTCTAGGATTGACCATATGTTAGGCAAAAAATAAGTCTCAACAAGTTCAAAAAACTTGAAATCATATTGAGTATTTTTTCTGACAATAATGGAAATTTAGATATCAATAACAAGAGGAACTTGTGAAACTACACATACACATGAAATTAAACAACATGCTCTTGAACTACCAAAGAAGAGATTAAGAAGTAAATTTTAAAAAGAATGTGAAACTAATGAAGACAGAAACACAACATACCAAAACCTACAGGATACAGCCAAGGCAGTATTAAGAGGAGAATTTATAGCAACAAACACATCAAAAAAATAGAAAGATTTCAAACAAACAGTCTAGCGATGCATCTCAAGGAACTAGAAAAGCAAGAACAAACTAATTCCAAAATAAATAGAAGAAAAGAACTAATAAAAATCAGAGCAGTGATAATTGAAATTGAGACTAAAAATACAAAAAATCAATCAAACAAAAAGTCGGTTCTTTGAAAAGATAAAGAAAACTGACAGACCACTAGACAAACTAACCAAGAAAAAAAAGGCAAAAAACCCAAATAAATAAAATCAGAAGTGCAAATGTAGACATCACAACAGATAGCAACAAAATACAAAGGATCATCAGAGACTATTATGAACAACTATATGCCAATAAACATGAAAATGTAGAGGAACTGGATGAATCCCTGGACACGTATGCCCTACCAAGACTGAACCAAGAAGAAACAGAAAATACAAAAA